GGCCAAGTCGCTACGGCGCCATGGCCGCCACTGCCCTAGGGCGAGGTACATCACCTAGTTTCCCCATCTAAGTCAAGTTTATCCCCTGATCTACGATTTTAGAGGTACTATGATCTAACAGCCTGCTTGACTAGTTGAAATCCCAAATCCCAATTGAGAAGATGCTGATAGGCAGGAAGAGCCAGTTGATTTCTGAAAGAAAACTGAAAGATTGAATGTATGGATTGTGAGACTTGTTTTCTTGTTCCTCTCTGGCTTCCATGGGAATTTCTTGTTCCTGAGTTCTCCATTTACCATACACGTCATCAGAACTGGATTTGGTTGCATCACTTGGACTCAGCTTCCATATTATCTGTTGTTTTTTGAGGCAACTGTTAGCATTATGGAAGAGATGACCACAGAAACCAACCCAAAAGCAAAAGTCACCGAGAAAAAGGTGGAGAGAGCAACCCAAGAACGATGAGGAAGGAAAATAAGAAAGACAAGCCAAAAGGGACGTCGCTTTCGGCCCGTTCGCTTCTGTTATAATCCGTATTTTTTAGTTTGGTTTTTTAGTCGGAACAATATTTTTTTCTCATAACAAATCAGACGAAACAATGTTTCGATTTGTTTTTTCAGCGAAGCGAACATGGCCTTCGTTCCTCTTCTCGCATAGCTGTAGCCCAATCATCCCAACTAGTCCCAACTTTTTTATCAGATGTCTCGGAAGAGACCCAACTAGTCTAGTACGTAGACGTCGTAGTGGTGGAAACTTGGAAAATCCAATCCATTGACCGGAGGAGACTTGCTGAATATATTAATATGGTGTGACGTGTGACCCTTTGAACTTATTAGCCTGACTTATTGTAGTGTTTTTCTTACACATTAAATTAGTCAACGGTATTTTTCAACCAGGCTTTTCAACGAAACGAACATGGCCTTTAGAGCTTGGGCAAACTTTGGTATGATCAGTATTTGTTGCTATAGAAAAAGTAATATTTTCAATCCTTCGTAGCATAACAAGTTCGCGTTTCATTGCGTAATCGTCGAGTATCCCGTGCGGCTGGCCGGGTCGCCGCCTCGCCGCGCGGTGAGTCCGCCGGCCTATGGTGTGATCTGCCCAACTGGATAGTACTGGCCGCCTTGGAACGGCCTGCATTGCCCGCCGTGCCCAGAGGCAAATTGTGAGAGACCCGCCCTTTCTCTGATCTGAAAGACCTTCTTCCTCTACGTGACACATGGCATATATCAATCTTCTACGCAATTTCGTCTACGTGATCACAAGTTCTTATTCAGCTTGGCACGGAAGCAGTGATGCGATTGGGCAACCATTTGTAACATCACCTGTCGATTGTTGCCTTTTGGAAATTTCAGTTGTGTGTGATTTTGGGTTAGCAAAGCAAGTGTCAGCTTCGACTTCCTTTCCTTTGCTAACATGTACCGACATCACTGGAACCTTTTAGGTGTGTAAGACGGTCTCCAACAAGGAATTTATATGAGCATTCAAACCCAAAATAAGTAGCAAGAGACATATAATTAGCCTCCAACAAAGTACCTATACGGGAGATCTATTTTAAGTTGCCTGAGAGGCACGATCCAAATATGGGCATCATCGTTTCTGGAAACCCATTTACAGAAAGGATTCTCTTTTGGGTCTTGTTGTTGGACAAGATGTTGAATTTGTATTGAACCTTTTGCCTGTAGCACTACCCAAATTATGAATGGATCTTGTATTTTGGATGTTGTTGTTGGAGATAGCCTAACTCTGTATCATCTCAGGGCTTTGGTTAGCAGTTATATTAACTCACAGTTACATCAGATATGACAAACTGCTCTTGTCGAGGTACTTGGGTTCTGAATATTTTTCACACAGGAAGGTCAGCAAGAAAGATTTGATGTCTATGCATTTGGGGTTTTATTATAGAGATTTGGAGTTTTATTAGAGATTATTTCAAGAAGGAAACCCATTAGCAGAGTTGAAATCTCTATCACCAATTCACCATCCTCGACCACAGCGGACAGCTCGAGCAGGTGGTCGCCCCTGCAACAGAACCGCTCGAGCTCTGCCACGGCGAGCCCGTGTTGCGGTAGCTCCTTGGTCCAACACCGAGGCTGTTGCTGGGTCCCGGACCCGGAGTAGTTCCGGCGCAGACGCGACCAGCACTGTCTCCGGAGTGCTCGATGATGTTCAGGTGACTGTTTAGTTTCTAAAATTTTGCAAATTTTTTTAAGATTTTCCGTCATATTAAATCTTTGAACGCATGCATGAAGTATTAAATATAAATAAAAAATAAAACTAATTACACAGTTTAGACGAAATTCACGAGACGAATTTTTTAAGCCTAATTAGACTATGATTTGACACTAATTACCTAATAACGACGAAAATACTACAGTACTATTTTTCAAAAAAATTCACCGACTAAACGATGTCAAGTCCAACCGCAGATTTGTGAAAGCCAACATGCTCGCGGCGAGGTCTACGTCTTGACCGTCTCGGTGGCTTCCGGTGTAAGCCAACGCCTGCTGTTAACGGAACGAGGTATTGGTGCCGCTAAAACTGGGCGATCAGAGAGAGGGCAGATCTCTCAGAATTTGCCTCCGCCGTGCCCTGCCTAGCTAGCTATAAATACGGCCCGATGCCTGGGTGAATTGCGTGCAGAGTGCAGTGCAGTCCAGTGTAGCATCGGTTACAGTTACCTGTTTGGCAAACATAGGAGTACAAGGCCACGTTTAGTTGGTCGGCGCCGACTGATTTCGCGAAGTACTGTAGCTATAGAGTGCAGTGCAGTCCAGTGTAGCATCGTTTATTAGTTTTTACCAACATTGTAGTACTGTTGTATGCTGCTGCAAAATGAAAGGAGTAGTGTCAAAGTTGGTATTTTGTATGAACTAAACAGGGCCCAAGTGATCCTGATCCTGATCCTGATCCTTCCAAGATGTCGAAGCAGGGTGTCGCTTCCATGCTTGCACTGGCATTGCTTCTTGGAGCTTCCATGCTTGTACTGGCATTGCTGCTCGGAGCATTTGCAGCCACTCCTACAGGTCAGATATATACGTACCCAATTGTATTTACGGCCGGCATTCATGCATCACGCATCATACATTAATACTAGCTCCTGGTGCACGCACACGAATGCTGATCATCGCGATATGCCGATATGCATGCATGATTGACACTGATGTACAGGAGTCCACGCCATCGGCGTGTGCTACGGCGTGAACGGCGACAACCTGCCGTCGGCGAGCGACGTGGTGCAACTCTACCAGTCCAACGGCATCAACCAGATGCGCATCTACTTCCCGGACACCAACGCTCTCAACGCGCTGAGCGGCAGCAACATCGGGGTGATCATGGACGTGCCCAACTCGGACCTCTCCTCGCTTGCCTCCGACCCGAGCGCGGCGGCCACGTGGGTGCAGAGCAACGTGCAGGCGTTCCCGGGGGTCAACTTCAAGTACATCGCCGTGGGCAACGAGGTCTCCGGCGGGGACACCAACAGCATCCTCCCCGCCATGCAGAACGTCAACTCCGCGCTGGCCAACGCCGGGCTGGGGAACATCAAGGTGTCCACGGCGGTGCAGAGCGGCGTCACGCAGGGGTTCCCGCCGTCGCAGGGCAGCTTCTCGCAGGGGTACATGGGACCCATCGCGCAGTACCTGCAGAGCACGGGGGCGCCGCTGCTCTGCAACGTGTACCCGTACTTCTCCTACACGGGCAACGAGGCCCAGATCGACCTCAGCTACGCGCTCTTCACGTCGCCGGGGACCGTCGTGCAGGACGGCGGCAACGCGTACCAGAACCTCTTCGACGCGCTCGTCGACACCTTCGTCTCCGCGCTCGAGAACGCCGGCGCCGGGAACGTCGGCGTCGTCGTTTCCGAGAGCGGGTGGCCGTCGGCTGGCGGCGACGCCGCCACTCCGGGGAACGCGCAGACCTACAATCAGAACCTCATCAACCATGTCGGGCAGGGCACGCCCAAGCGCCCTGGATCCATCGAGACCTACATCTTCGCCATGTTCAACGAGGACCAGAAGCCGGGAGCCGAGACGGAGAGGCACTTCTGACTCTTCAACCCGGACAAATCGCCGGCGTACCCCATCAATTTCTCCTAAAAAACAAGTGGGACGCACGCGCGGGTCCATATATACACGATCGAACAAGATATAAACATATATACATATCATCATCAAGACTCAGGAGCACATATACGGTGACCTTGTGCATGGAATGTTTGACATATGTATGGAGTATTAACGACTTGTTTGGCCGGGCTCCCGGCAGCTCCGGCTCCGGCTGACACCCTGCGACGAACACTGTAGCGTCACTGTAGCAGCGGAGCATTTTTTTCTCTCCCCTCCTTTTTCCTCTCACTGTAGCGCGGTTACTGTTCACGGAGCCAGTGAAGCTCGAATTTCGGGCTCCTCCGGCTCCTGTTCTGACACGCTACAGTGTGTGAACAGTGTAAGAGCCGAAGCCTCTTGGAGCCGTACCAAACAGGTTCTAAATATAGACTTAAAAAATAACTAATTACACAGATTGCGATTACTTTACGAGACGAATCTTTTAAGGCTAATTAGTCTATGCTTTGATAATAAAGTACTACAGTACACACATGTGTTAATGACGAATTAATTAGACTTAATAAATTCATCTGACGATTTACTGATGGATTCTATAATTTATTTTTTTATTAGTATCGAAAATTCCACCCTCATGTGGCATCCCAAGCTTTATGCCCAGGGAGCAAACAAGGGTAAAGCAACGAGCTCATGGGTCCTCCGACCAAAACATAGAACCGGCACTACAGCCTGCAGGGCTACAGAGTACACAGATGCGATGTATTTATTGCCTGTATTCTGCGCTCGATCCCAGTCTGCGTGACCGCATATATAACGAAACATCTGTGCAGTGCTTTGCCGATCAAACCTTGGCATAATCCGAGCATATTTCCAAGAGAGCCAATCGCCAAACTAATTAAACTCTCTCTGAACATGAACACGGAGAAGAGAACGTCGGGTTACACTCGTCTTCTCGGCCTGTTCCTGGTGCGTGGACCAACAACAGCGGGCTCCTTCTCCTCCACCGGTACAGGCGGCAGCTCCTCCTCCTCCCCTTCATCGTACACAATAATGTTGCCGTCGTCGTCTTCCTCGCCGGCGCCGTCCTCGTCGGACGCCTCGTTCTCTTCCAGTATCGCTCGGTTTATTTCCATCTGCGCATGCACGGACAGCCGTTTGGCCAAGTGCCCAAGTGTTAACACTTAACACTGTATGTATGTATGTCTCTTCAGTTCAGACATGCTCTCGCGTATGCCAAGTTGCCAACAAGGAGAGGAATAACCAGATGTGCAATTTTATTCGCAGGTACAACTAACTGCAATCAGACGCGCATGGTGCTTGGCTGCTTGCTAACAATTTTGCTTGTGGACGAAAATCATCATCACAGTCTCATTTGCGAAGTGCAAATAATAATAATAGCAATGCAATCTGTTACTGACGCGCAGTTACTGGCTGGCAGGACGAATTCAAACAAAATAACGAGGAAGCTAACAGCTGATTAGTAGAGTACGCAGCAGCTAGCTGCTAGCAGTAACAGAAGCGCGTGGTAGTGGTACTCGTATCGTATCGTATTCGTACCTCCCTTAGGAATCGGTCGTCGAGGTCGTCGGCGACGCGGGCGGCGGTGACGAGCGTGCCGACGAAGAGGGAGAGCGGGAGCACGAAGGCGAGGATGAGCTGGTTCGTGCTTGGCGGCCCGCCGGCCCGCACCACCATGAGGCGTCCCCGGCCCCGCCTCCGCGCGCCTCCTGGCACCGGCCTGGCGCAGCTAGCTCGGGCAGGGCGGCCGGAGCACGGTGGCGTCGCGGCGAGACGCGGTGGCATGGAGAGAGCCGCGACCTGGCCGCCCCGTGCCATGGGCTACTCGGCTGCCAGAGGCTTCCTTCCTTGCTTCGCAGAATCGCAGGCTCCCAGCGGGCAGCGGGCAGCGCTTGCCTTATCCGGTGGTGCTGTTGGCACTTGGCAGGTGCGCGCTTCAATCAGTGATGACATGTACGCGGCGCACGCGCACGGACCCCAGGAGAGAAGCGGATTGGGCTTGATTGGATGTCACGGAGAGGCTTTTCCAGGCCCGCGTAGGCCAGTAACGGCCCAAAATAGCGTGGGTGGTTTCAGCCCAACTAAACGACTTAGCTGGTGGGCTGCCGAAGCAAACATTCAACGATATGGCGTTCCCCTTGGATAGAAGCAGAAATGTGGACCGTTTTTTTTTTAGCAAAATAATATGTGGGCCGAATCCATTTTGACTTTAGATAAGTAGTATATACAAATTGCCCAACGAAACTTGTACTTTAATTTCTACTAATATACTCCGGCAAGCGAGAATTGGCGTCATTTTATCAAAAAAAAAAGTGGCGTGATGATTTCTGTATTTTATTTGTAATAAAACAAATAAAAAACAAAGAGAGAATTGGCATCACGCAAGGACATGTGACACGTGAACTGTGCACATTCCATCCCACTACCTCCTGCCGGCCGGCGTTGGGTCGCCATCGGCCGTAGATTCGGACGACGCCGATCGATTCACCAAGTGGAACGAAAAAAAGAAAGAAAGGGAAATGCATGGCGCCACCGCTTGAAATTCGCACGAGGGAGAAACGGAACCTGCCCACCGCCCGTCAGTCTCAGTCACGCTCTGAGTAACAACCACCACCGAAACAAAGCGCGGTTAGCCGCCGCCCGGCGTAAACGTCCTCGGTGATCCCCTGACGGCGACGTCGAGCGAGATCGCGCGCGCCGATCCCGGCCTCTCGCTTTCCGAGTCGTCCCAGTCCCAGTCTCGATCGCCCGGCGGCCGGCGCCATCCGGCCAGTTGCGTGGTTGCCCTCGCGCCGCCGTCACGTCACGTCACGTCACCTAGCTCCTCGTCACGCACGTCCCCAGTGGGCAGTCCCCACCCACGTAGTACGTGCGTCACGGGTCGCGCCACGCGTGATGCATGGTCCGTGTGTGTAGCCGGTGGCGTCACCGCGTCGCACTCCTGTTCGCGTGTTGGTTTAGCCGGGACTTATCAGTCGGCTAACCATGTTTTCCTTCTACAACAAACCAACATAAACCGAATTTATCAGTTCAGAAATTAACCAGCGAACAGCCGTGTGCATGTGCCGGCGGGGGTGCCGTGCAAGAAAATTAAGTAGTACGTACGTAGTAGCTAGATGGCCAACAAACACGTACCGAGTAGTCATGCTGGCACAGCTGCACATAATGCTAGCGCCTGTTTACTGTGGCTTTTCGTGTTTGCTCTCCTAGAGGGCTTGTTTAGATGCAAAAATTTTTACAAAATGAGTATCGTAGCGTTTTCATTGTTATTTGATAAATAGTGTCCAATCATAGTCTAATTAGACTTAAAAGATTCGTCTCGTGTATTTCGTCTAAACTGTGTAATTAGTTTTATTTTTTATTTATATTTAATGCTTCATGCATGCGTCCAAAGATTCGATGTGACGGGGAATGTGAAAAATTTTGCCAATTTTTTTGCAAACTAAACTGGACCAGAATGTATGTGCATGTTTACAGGGACGACGAGTGTGTGTAAGTTGAGGAAGAAAAAAAATCAGAGTGATGTAAAACTGGAAATTAAAGACGAAGGTCTCTGCTTCAGTGATTCTCAGCTTTCCTCTGCTTTGACTGCTCTCTCTGGTTATTGGTAGTGGTACCACTGAGCTGCTGCAGAGACCTTGCCCGCTGTCAATCTTCGCTTCGACGACGACGACGACGACGACCAGCGCAGCGAACAGCGAGTGACAGACGCTGGCGGCAGCACCAGCAGTCCGGCAGCAGCACGGCTTTCCCCTGTACTAGGCTGTAGCTCGGTGACTCCACGACTTCGGCCAAGGGGCAACGGGCCCAGCACGTCTTCTTGTCCTACCCCGGCGCCCTGTTGAATCAACCAGGGCGGCTCATAAGTCGGTCTTGACTAATTTGATGTGAGAAAAAAGATATCGTAAATTTTAACTGATTGATAAATTTAAACGAACGTACCCGAGTTGGTTTGGACGTACGGAGCCGGTGGAAAAATCAATGGTTCTTATTAACACTACTCATTTTATTTTTATTTTTTTTAGATACCCCTCTTATTTCATCCGCACAAGTATATGGCGTCATTTTCCTAGTTTTTTTTTGTTGTTTTTTGAGGAACGCGTCATTTTCCTAGTATAGTATTATTAAACCCACACCGTGTCCTTTAAACCCTCTACTATAATCCTCGTTCAACTTACATAAAAAAGATAAAATAATCCTCGTTCAACTGGGCTGGGCCTTCTTGGGCCGCTTCAAATATTGAATGGCATATTATATATACATACGTATACACACACGGTATAGATACAATCATGATCATATATAGTATTAACTACATCAGCCATGTACTACAATTGGCAGCAAACACACGTATACTTTCTCGAACATACCTCAGGCACGGATTTCATTAAGTAGAAGTAGACGTTCCTAGAATTAGTGCAATTTCACAAACACAAACAAACAACAAAAAGCCGAGGGCTTCGAGGCCAAACCCTATGATGGCGTGGCACGCGCAAAACACGCAAAGACAAGGCACCATCCATCCATCATCCACCGAGACACGTTCTAGGAGTGTCGCGAAGAAACAAGCAAAGCCGAGGGCCGAGGCCTAGGTATGATGGCGTGGCACTCGCAACGCAACAACGACAAGGCACCATCCATCCATCATGCCAGAGAACTACTGCAAGGCTAGCGAGGACGGACCAGAGCCCTGCCCTGCACTGCACTGCAAGGCTGCATGCCAACAATGCCAGTCGTCGATCGATCCATCGATCTGATCAGAATCGAGCGTGGCGCACGTAGTACCCTGTGGGTAGTGTGAGCTGGATCCTTCCATGGATGTTTTGCCAATATCTCGTCTCGTGCATGCAGCATGCATCAGCATCACGTCTCATGCATGCAGCATGATGCTGCCCTCCTGAAAGGTTGCAACCATCGATCCGTCCGTTCATGCATTGGCCCCGGCCTCAGCAGCTAGCTACTCCATCTGTCACAAATTGATCACGAGCCACATCTAGTACGGAGGGAGTAGCACATTGATCACAAGCCACCAAACCAAAAGAGAGATGATAGTGGTACTCCGGTTCTCTAAAGCAAGTCGTTTTGAGGTTGTCTTAAGTCAAATATTTTAAACTTTGACTACAAATAATTTCTTTTGGGTTGAGTTTGAAAATATGAAAGTGATGTAAGTAGATTTATCTCGAAATGTAGGTTTCATAAAAGTATATATTGACTATATTTTATAAATATTTTATAGCAAAAAATAGCGGTGAAAGTCGTTTCTTAAAGACCGTGTTGATGTCCAAAACGACTTGCTTTAGAGAACCGTATTTTATAGGAGTATAATATCGGATCACCGACATCTGTCACTGTAGCTTTGCTGTGTGTGTGGTACATACCGTGACGGAGGCAGGAATAATTTTTAGGTATGGCGAGATTTATAAAATTTAAACATGTAGAATAAAACTATATAAGGATCCACTAAAATATTATATAAAGATATATTACTTTGTGACAGTAAATATAAATATACCATGTATGTATACTACATATATTTGGTATTTCATACAGTATATTTATAAAATATAATATCATGTGTGTGATCCAATCAGCGGATGACATCTGTCACCTGATAGCAAAGTGGATCGGGTTGGCGGATATCTGTGTTTGTGTGGTTCAAGTGGATGCGGATTTGTAGGTTCCCAGACTGCTCCTACCTGGATTTCCCCAAGACCAGCCACGTAAACTTTCGCCCACCAAGCCCAACTACCAACCCTAATATATAAGCCTTAAGCTGAAATCCATCAACCTCAACCTCATCCGTCGTGGCCCGCGAAGACGGTAAACTATAAGAATTTTCGACGCCCGAAATAATATATTTTTCGGCATAAATCAACCGCGAGAATATTTTCTTCCTCGTTCCCCACGGTGGACTAAGAATACACCAGCAGACGGGCACATGGCGGACTTCACGGTGGGTGCAAACAGCCATGAGCGAGCCCCACCAGCCCTGGACCGACACATGGCTCTCTCTCTCACATTCATTTTGAAATCGTCTCTCTCTCTCTCTCCTCCGGCTCCGGGGCACAGGCCGGAGGCTCTCATAGCCCCTCAGATCCGGGTTTCGGATTATCCGGCGAGCGTGGGTTTTGGTTTTGGGGATAGATTTTCCATCGCCGGCAACGCTCTAGGTGCCCCCAACGTGTTGCCATTCTTACCTCCACCAACCTGCCCAACCCCACCACAAGCCCCCTCCGGCCCTCCTCCTCTCCATTCCTCTACGCACCCTGTTCGTTTTTTTATAAACCGTACTATTTCAGAAAAAAAAGTATTTTTTTGTCGAATAAGTGAACGGTCCTTTCAGCCGTCGGCCTCATTTTGAAATCGTCTTTTCTCTCTCCTCTGGCTCCGGGCACAGGCAGGAGGCGGAGCCACTCAGATCCCGGCGGCGCTCCTCCATCGCCGGCAACGCTCTCCCCAACGTGGCTTCCCTCCTCCAACAGCACGAGAGCGCAGATCCAGCCATGGTCGCCCGCCTCCCCTCATCGCTCTCCCCGGCGGCGGTGGGGGCTCTGCTGCTGGGCTCGTGGCGGGGCTAGGCCGGCCACGCCTGCGGTTTCGCTCATGCCAAGGGTAGGGCCGCGCTCGCCCACCTCTCCGCGGTGGCGGCTCCATGTCATCAACCTCCACGCCGGCGC